TTACGACGGCGTGACATTACAGGTATAAAAACGTATGATGGAAAGATTTAAAAAATAAAATTGAGAGTGTTGCAGATGTAGGCCCTAAATCAATTATCACTTAATACTTAGTATCATTGAATTTAATCAACTTTTAATTTTGATTTTAGCGGTCTTGGTATTGGTGTATTAACATCATCATTACAAGCTTATAATGTTGAATTGGACGTGGTTGAACTTGATCCGGTGGTTTATGATTTTGCTATAAATTATTTTAATCTGAAGCATGAGCATAAAATATATCTTCAGGATGGTCGTAAATTCATTGATAATGCAGATGCTCAAACATATGATTATGTATTACATGATGTATTTACTGGAGGATCAGTACCATCAGCTTTATTTTCGATTGAAGCTTTGGAACAGATTAAGAGAATACTTAAGACAAACGGCGTTTTAGCACTGGTATTTAAAAACGGACAATAGAGATGTATTCTCTTTTACAGTTTAGTCAAGCTTTATTAAATTTTTTTTCTCCATTATAGTCATTTGTAGTAAATAATTTAAATCACCTAAGAATCGTAATAGCATGGGCCTTAAAAAAATACTTATCAGACAATGCTTTTAAAATTTTTAATTCTTTCAAAATGGTTTAATTAAATTACAATACACTAAAAAAATAAAAATAAAAAACATTAAACTGGTTATTTTTGAAACATTATTGTTATAGGTTTATGTCAAAAAAAAATTAACGATAACACGTAAATAACAAAATACAATATATGTATTATTTACAAGACTGTTAACAAAGAGAACATGGAAAATGGTTTAAGATATAACACGTCTAAATCTGTGTCCTAAATCGACTGAAATTATCCTAATATTGTGAAAACTTTGTTTAAATCCACCATCTATGTATAGTAACTTTTCAGAAAGCTTGGAATGTATAACGTCCTACAGACTATTACATGGAAACCAAAATGTATGGTATCTTAATTCTATACATATTTAAAATATCTAACATAATATCATTCTTAGTACAGTACCAGAAATTTTACAGAATGTAAAATATCCTGGGTTCTTTGAAGAACATTTATGGTAGCATAAGTCGGATGTTTATTAGATGATATGATAATTTATTAATTAATATCTACCTTCCGACTTTTAACTACAAATCCAGTGAAATGCTATGTCCGCCTTCCAACCACTAAAAATTGATCCAAAATTCTTGTGGAAACAATTCTCTCATAACCTTCCAGTGTTCAAATGCTGATATCCGTTGCAATTTGTCCAAAGGATTATGCTCGTCAGTAATAATATCTGTGACATTTTGATATTTCCTTAAGTCGATTTGCCAATTAATAAAATTCCCAAGCACATATTCTCTACTATATTTGGCTATTTTCGTTAGATTTATCCTATTTAGAAATTTATTAGATATTATCAATCTGCAACACTCTCAATTTTATTTTTTAAATCTTTCCATCATACGTTTTTATACCTGTAATGTCACGCCGTCGTAA